CCCCAAAACCCCAAAACCCCAAAACCCCTTGATGATAAATTGTTATACAGTAGAAGAATAAGATAATATTTTTAACTGAAAATATAGAAAGTTCATAAAGTTTCCTTATTTTTAAATTAAAAATATGCTATTTAACAGAACAAATTAATAATGATTAAGTTCTTTATCTCGAAGGGAATTTATGCCACCTTCAATCCAAATTATTAATAATTGATAATGATGCTGTTAATCACTGATTCTATGGTTAGCACAATTTTCACATCATTTAGCTTTTAGCAACCCTTTTAGGTGTTTCAGTTTATGCGTTTGTCTACACTCTGTCCAGAGGAAGTGGATCAAAAGGAATCACTCTATCATCGTCATCGTCAGTATCCATCTTTTTTTACTGAACTATCCTATCACATTCTTGTAAAAATATCTTATCCAGCTTCTCGATGTTTGAAGGAGGAAGATGTCTCATCGACAAGTAACTTTCATTTTCCAGAAGCTTTAGTCTATCCGATGATACCATGCTTGAATCTTTTTTCAATTTCTTTTTAAGCTTTTTTATTTAACAGATGTCGTTTACTATCTCTCTATTAATATGCCTATCATAATGTTTTGCTAATCTTTCAAAATGTTCTCTGTACTGACTAAAAGAATCTAAAACGTTCATCTATGTCTTAGATTTCCGTAATCTACTCTGAGTCACTAAGCCAATCTAGTTTTTTTACTGATTTTTTTAATCTGGAAAAATAGTATTGTAACTCATAAATTAGAGGCAATTTAATTGACTTTTGTTTAAGAGTAATTTGGTTGCCTTTTATGACTGTCTTATTACTTTTACTATATACGAAAGCTCCATTATCTTTTCTAGCTTTTTATATCCATTCTCATAATACTTGTGCTAATTAGACTTATTTTGCTAGAATTTTCAGCAGTAAAATTTCATAATATCAATCATCCCTTGATATTTTGTGTCAATAATTCTAGATTTAACTTCATCTCTCAACATTCCTTTGTCAATTTTTAAACTGGATTTAGATTTATTTTCAGATTGTACATATTTGACTATTTTGCTGCTTTTATGGAAATAAAATAGATTATTCATTAAATCCCAGTAAAACGCTTATCTCTTAAATAGTTTGTTTATAATTTTAGAGACAATAGTAAAAAAATTGAGATAGCCTCCAACAACTGTACAGATGCTAACTAAGCTTTAAACTGTTTATTCAATGGTAACTTCTTCTTGATCACATGATACATATAGGTTAAATACTTCATTAATATCAGGTAATAATTCCGCATAAGCACTTTTCTAGTGGATTACCTTATAAAATTCAAACTAATTCTCCTCATACATATCAGAAAACCAATTATTTTTTACAGTCAGATAATTTTTTTAAAGAGTGAGATATGCTATTGTAGCAACTGTTCTGAATGGATCGTAAAACTGAATTCCAATTTCTTACTTTATTGGATCTTTAAGGCTATCAGGATTGTAGTAGTTATTTGTGTAAGCGACCATAAATTAAGAATGCTAAAGAAAACTATCGATTTCCTCTTTCGGAGCACATTGCTAAGATAGTTATGAATTTGAATCAGATTAATTGTTTTATAGGGTCTAGTTTATACAAGGTTTTACCTCAAGTTTTAAAGATTTCTAGTTCAAGCTTAATTTCTATCCAACTATATCCTATTTAAAATCAGAAATGCAAAACCAATTGTTTTCTAGAAGTCCTATTGAATTAATTTCATTTTATAAGCCAAAGAATCTCGAACTATTACATTCTTTTTATGGAATTAAGGTCACGTTTCTCAATAATGAATCGATATCAAAATCACCTTCTTCAAGAAACTAATATGCATAAATTTTTATTAGAAGCTGAAGTTCAAATATCTTGAAACGTTATAAGAATGAAGATGATCATTTTCTAGAGTTGGAACTTATAGTCTGACTCAATTTAGAAAAAAAATTATTCATAATAATTAGGGTCATTAAAAATACTCCTATAGCAATGTCAAAATTATTTAAGTCTATTTGATAAGACTATTGATCATTAAATGCACTTTAATAATTTGATTTAATTCTAATGGTGTACTCTTATTCAAAAACTCTCCTTAGCAATATAAAGAACAGTCCTGCCACCCATGCTACACAATTTAATGTAAGAAGCCCACCAATAAATGTCTAATGTTAATTCTTTCCTCTATATTTAAAGCCAACTGTTTCACCGAATCGGTCAAACCCTGTGATAAATTTAATCATTTTAAGTTTGAAGAATTTGCTTATTATCTTATTTATGCAATTAATTGTCTTGAGATTTCTTATAAAATTTTAATGATTCAATTACGCTTATATCAAAATTTCCTACTCCTTACTTTGATTTTATTCAGTTTTAAGGGGTTTTGGGGTTTTGGGGTTTTGGGGTTTTGGGGTTTTGGGG